TGGAGACACCTCTATGCCACTTTCATAGTCCTGCACATCTCACAAACAGGCACTGATAACTTTTGATCTGAACCATCTTTACAGAGATATTTATACAGCAGATACTTATAGTGGATACCTGTCTGAAAAAATACAGACAGCACTTCAAAAAAGAGGGTAAGTTTGCTTTTGCTAGCCTAACAATACTTTATCTTCCTCTGGGCCAAAAGTGACTTCTTGCTATTAAAGATTCATATTCCCTAAACTTGAATTTATTCTCTTACAATGCACACCACTAGTTACAGAAATGGTACCTACCCAGGGGATGAAACTTGATTCAGTAGCGTGGTACAAATGCTTGTAGTTTGTCCACTGCTACTGTCATAAGCAAAAATGTCATTTGTCTCTAATTCAGGCAACTCATGTCCTCTGATAACATGCATAACTATAGGGCCAGCGAGATAGCTCAGCGGACGAAGCACCTGTTTAAGCAAGCGCAGGGACAGCGGTTTGATCTGTGGTACCACATGCCACACCAGCCCTGCTCCCGAAGGCACCGAGCTGGCCACGGAGACAGGGCATGGTGGAACGCGCTTATAATCCCAGTGCTGGGGAAGCTGAAAACAGGAGGGTCACTAGGAGTCTGAACTGCGTAGTGAGACCCTGTACCAAATACATTTTTTAAAAAAAGCATAACTGTGGCAAGTTGACTTGGGATCATCACAGTTTCTAATAGAAACATAAAAGTTTGGAGATAATCAGATAAAGAGAGAAAACATTACATGCAATGAGGCTTCTTGTTCAATTTTTTGAATCTAGGATGATTAAGTTACAACTTTGAGCAGTATGCATTAGGTATGATGTAGAATCTGCTTTATTCTTCAAAAAAATTATATATAAACAAATATACATACACATAGAATTTAATTGATTTAAAATTAAATACATGATATAGATCTTATCTCTACCTACAGATTTAAAAAACAAAAACTCCAACAACCTCATGGAATGAACTCTCACAGATAATAGACAAAAAAGCAAAACTCTCTGGTTTGAAAATATGACCTCTTTTAACCTCCAAATAAAACACAGATTAAAGGAGAATGGGCTAGGCTACCTTTAAATAAAATGTCTACATTATTTAGTGTTATGTTTAATTTTATTATCTCACCTTTTTAAAATACCATAAACTTAGGTACTGACAAGTTATTACATAATCTTAACTCAGTATTAAATATTCATCATTCACAATAAACAAAATATTTTGAGTTTTATGAATATTGAGTTTATATTAAATAACAAATATTCTTAATAATAATTTACAACTAAAGCTACTATTTTAGCCGGGGAGATGGCTCAGTGGAATATGCGCTTCCCTGGCAAGCTCAAGGGCCTGAGTTCAATCCCCGGTTCCACAAAAAAATAAATAAATAAAAATAAATAAATAAAGCTACTATTTTAGAAATTTATCAGAAAATAATGCTACTTTTTTAAAAGTTATACATCTAGAGAGAATTATCGTTAGCTACAGAAAGACAACATGACAGGAGAAATAATTTCATTGAAATGACTATATATTCCATGAAACCATTGTTAGTCACAGAGATAAAAAGAGTATTAACACACTAGCAAGTGAGAAAAGGACTACATGTGTCTAGAATTTATAATGTCCTTAAGAATGAGGCATGTAAAAAAAAAGAAAGGAAGACAGAAACATTTCTTAATTTAATGGAAGTAAAATATAAATTATATAAAATCTGGGGTAAATTTTTAAAATGGATAATTTATTTCAAATCATAAACCGGGCACCATTGCTGTGATCTTCCTCTGCTAACTACAATGCTAAAAAAAAAATTAAACCAATCATTCTAAAATATAAATAATAAAAATAAAAACAGGCTTTAAAAGTCTATAGGCTGTGATCAAAATGCAAACAACATTTTTTTTTTGGATTGCCTTAACTAAAAGAACACTGGATATTCATTAATATTCTATTAATTGAAATAGATTATTTTACTTCCCACAAACTACTACTTTTTTATAGAGAAAAAGCTTCCAGCTAGAGTTTATCAAAAAAAATCTCCAGAGATTATAATCAGTTACAATTAATATATAAAATAATAATACTAGAACCAAATTTATTCAGCTATTTATATGGAAATGTAATTGAAATTTGAATTACTGATTCATTTCTATTTTAATTTCTGATAAATGATAATAGAAGACTGTAGTTTTTCCAATGGGGCGTGCCAAGGGCAGCGATGTTGGGTGTGGAGACAACCCTGAGGAAGAGCTGAAGGGTTAAGATACCGCCTCCTTTTCTGGTTCCACTGGGACATACATTAATATAAGACACAATTAAAATTATGCAAATCTAAGTTTTAATTATGTAACAAAATATTTTCTAAGGACATAAACTATTAAACAACAAATGAGTTTTAAGCATGAAATCTGAGAAACTCTTCCACCAATGTGTTTTGAAGCAGGCTATAATTTCATCCAGAAGGGCTTATTTAATTTATAAAGGCTCATGTACTCTGCTGAGGTTTTTCCACTATATGAACTTGTATGAAAATTGGAAGTGGAAATTTTTTTTGAGTTCCTAATATAGTCGACATGAGCTACTCTGTATTCTGACTTAAACACATGTACATATAAGAGGACTTTAGAAAGAAAAAAACAAATTTTATAATCACAATAATTTAGTCATAAAGAAACCTACATTTTTAAAACATCAAACTTCACATAATTGAGTTACTAAAATACTTTTTAAAATATAGCAGCATTTGCTTTAAACACAAACGGAATGCACAAAAAGTAACAGGTATCTACCAGATCAAAAGATGGAAGAATGTCATATTACTTATGATGAAGGTCTTTGACACAGAAGCTGCGTGACAGTGGAATGATAGAGAAATAAGGCTGCCACTCTGCGTCTACACCGGCTGATGTCTGCGAAAAATACACACGTTACATGCAGATTCATAATTAACTAAAGATTACCTGGAAATCTTTTAATTATTTGACATAATCCTTCCTTTCTGCAAAGCTGATATAATTCTGGTAATATATTTATCTGCAAGGAATAAAAAAAATTCTAGTGAGTTAGACATTTGTAAATGGTGAAGCAAAGAAAACACAGAAACCAGAAAGGGTTTTTTGTTTTGTTTTGTTTTTTTTTTTTTTTTTTTTTTTTGGGTTTTTTTTTTTTTTTTTTTTTTTTTGTACAGGCTCTACGGGGTTTACAGGGTCTCACTAGGTAGATCGGACTGACTTGCAGTGATTCTCCTGTTTTCAGCCTCCCAAATACTGGGATTAGAGGCGCGCTCCACCACGCCCAGTCTCAATTGAAGTCTCAGAGCTCCCCGGGGGCGGAGCCGGCTCGGCATGCCTGGGATGGAACCTTGGCCGCTGCATCTGCCTAAGCAGGCACTTCAGTTTGCTGAGCTACCTGGCGGGCCCCAGAAAGTTTAAACATGGAGCTCTCTGTCCACAGTTCACACCCAGCCCTCACATCACTGCGAGTCTGCATTCCAATACAGAATATTGAAAGTGGCTTATTTGATAATATGAGACAATAGCCGTTGGAAATCTTTGAAAATATTTGAACATAAGTCTTGAAAACTTTTTTTTTTTTAATTTCACATTTGTTAGATACAAAAAGTACTTAGGGCAAGTATTTTTAACACAAGTAACTTCATAGTTGCTAATTTTGCATTGCAAAAACCAGCACCAGACACACTTCAGAGTCAACAAAATTCCAAAGTTTCAAAGGCCCTCAGTGATTTTCATCATGCAGCTATTTACAGTAACTCAGTGTTAAATGTGTTTCAAAATTTCATATGTAGCCTTCAGCCTGGAGGACACTGTTGCTTTCACACATAAGCAGGTCACCACAAAACTCTTTTAGCCAAACTTTGCTTTTAGTAGGCTTAATAAATTTTTTTTCTTTTTTCTTTTTAATTTGGTGCTTTAAACAATTTATTTAGCTGAAACAGACTTACATTTATTTCTGAAGTGACTTCCATTTATTTTGATACATCTTTTCCCCATGATGATTTACAGGATCTTCAAGCCAATATAAATATTTTATAAATATTTGAATATTTGGGCATATACCTGCACAATAATACCTCAGCAATGTGTTTCAGTCAGAAAAACACCAAAGAGGAAAGACTAGACACAGTTACTAGGTGCAGTGAAAAATCTGCTGCAAATACTTCTGAGATAAGAAGGCACCACATACCTGTTCAACTAAGAAAACCACCCTGACAACACAGGATGATTTTATTTTTACATAGGACCTAGAACACTTAAACTGCCAGTTAGGTACTGAATAGCAGAGCAACGTCCCCAGTTTATGCCATGAATTCATAGGGAACAGGTTCCAACAACTCAGTTTCCTTTCCATTGGTCCTCACAACTTGTGCTTCTCTGGAAGGGGCAGGCTAGGGCTTCATTTGAACCCAGGTACCTTTCTCTTTGGCTTCCTTCTTTTTCTGATCATTTTACTTGACGTTTCAGGAAGCTATCATGACTTTGAGTGTTTATTATGCTCAATACCCACATTAATCCTCCTGGCAAGTATCTTGCCCTTACCTTGCTTGTTTACAGCAATGCCAACAGCATGCTGGGTAACATTGTTGACTTTTCCTGTTTTGCCTTGGTAACATTTGTGAGGCCTTCCTTTTTGCACAGTACCCCTTCCCTTGATGTCTACAACATCACCTTTTCTGTAGATTTGAATGTATGTGGCCAAGGGAACAACCCCATGTTTTCTAAAAGGTCTGGAAAACGTATACCAGGTTCCCTTCCTCTTGTCCTTTGTGTTAGTTGTTTTGGCAAGTTACTGGAAGATGGCAGTTCTGGCCAAAAGGCAATAAATGTTTTCATATATTTAATTATACTAATTTTTAGCTTATAAAGAAAAGATTTAAAAAAAAAGACTGGGTGTGGAGGCATGTGCCTGTAATCCCAGCTCTTGGGAGGCTGTAAACAAGTGGATCACTATGAGTCCAATCTAGTAGTGAGACCCTGAACACCCTGTAGACCTTTCCCTAAAATACAAAAAAAAGATAATTTTATTCTCATCTGGGAATTTATAAATGGACTAACTAGGTATTATAAATTAAATTCCAAAAGTAACAACAAATATGATAAAGTATCATCAAAACCAACAAAAAGAAATCTGTGTAAATTATCTTGAAAATCTGATTCACTTTGAGACATATTATTTTCAAATTAATTCACTCTGGCCTAATAAGGATTATATTTTCTGTACTGTGTTCCATAGACATTACTAGATAAAAGGGATTCAGTTGTATTGGAAAAAAAGAAATGGTTGTGGTCCTGTTTCCATACATAATGGAATTTTTATCTTGAACATATTTTGCTTCTTTCTTTTTTTTCCCAATTTCTTCATTTATATGTATATACAAAGGCATAAAGAGCTTTGGTTTCTAAGTTCCACTTCTGCCATAGAACTTTAATGAAGTCTATAACAAGCTGTACTTTTAAAAACTGATTCATTTAAAGTGCTTTGAAGTAGTACATTGATTAAATCTCTTCCAAAATTTGTGATCTTATTAATCCTCATCATTTATTCAGTGAACTTTCTGCTCCCCAGTAAGAACTACAGAGAGAACAACTCCAGCTCAGGTCCTGTATGAATGAAGTCCAGGCTTCAGCAGAATCCACACTTAAGAATCAGTAAGGACAGAATTCCTAAGCATTGTAGTCATTGGAAGTCTACAAGAACACCGAAGTCTAGTCATTTACGTTCTTCTATACTGGGAACTAAAGAAAGACTGGCAGTGTAGTTCTGTACTACCAGTTTTAGGGTCCTCTACATTTCTCAAATTAAAAAATGTGAAAATTCAGCAACTGGATGTGGAAAATAAGGACATCAAAAGCCCTGAATGCTTCTACTCAGAATTTTTAAGGACTAGAGGGACAAAGCACTGCAAAAGTTTTTAGGGTTTTTTTTTTTTTAAACACACAAGGTATCTTCTAATTAAGATTGTGAAAAGCTTCAAGAGTCAGTAACCCCAAGCCATTTTCCCTACATAAGGCAAAAATCACCCAGCTGCTAGTGACTTAGTAGAATCTCTGACATTGAGAGGATTCCGGCACAGAAGCAGCGCTAGGCCAGCTGCATGGAAGGCCGTGCGGGGCTCGGTCCGTTTCTGACCTCCCCTAAGGCGTGCGGAGCTGATGTGCTGCCAGGCACAGCCTGAGCGCACCTGCAGTTAGGCCGCCCCACCAGACGCACACGGAAGGCCCGGCAGAGCCCTGGTCAGATGGATAATGGCGACTGGATGAACGGGCCAAGGCTACGTCGGTAGCTACGGCATCGATGGCATTGTCAGCACTAACTTCAGACAGAAGGCTGGGTTGCTGTGTCTCAGCAGACAGCAGAGAGACGACCCTTCTTTGGAGACATTGGACCGGAAAGATTAATTGACTCCGGAGGAACAGAAAAAAGGCTTCAAAAAGTGAGAGCCAACCCAAGGGAAGCAACTGTTCTGCACTCTGCCGTGTTTTCCTGTCCCCCACCCAATGACTTCGCATGCTCTTTCCTCTGAAGCACATACTCAGAATTCACAGGACTGCAGATGACATAACAGTGATGACACATGACGCTAGAAATATCGCCTCTACTCAGCTCTAAAAATGAACCCCAGACTAAGCAGCCAAACTGAGCAACTCAGCACAAGAGGTGAAAACATTCAAGGGTCACGCTGCGGTTGTTGACTGACTGCATTATATATTTGATTACTGACCCTAACAATGCTCTCCTACATCCTCATTCTTTTTCCTTTTGTGTATATCATAAAATAGAAAATATTCACACCATTATCAAGTGGAATATCATCAAAGTAGTTTTAATCCAGATTATCTGATTTTTATATGATGAATTTCTCAGTTTAGCATTACAAAATTATTTTTAATAGCTGTTTTTAGAGAAATGTAAAAATAATAACAAAATCGAGAGAAAGTGAGATTCCCCTTATAATTCCATACATCCACTGACCCTACACTGTATACTCTCCCTCCAATATGAAGTTCCCTTAGCAAAACAGGATTTTTGTTATACTTAAATTTACATTAACATTTCATCATCAGCCAAATAATCATTTATTTTTTGAGACAGGGTCTCACTATATAGTGCAAGGTGGTCTCAAATTCAGTACACAGCCCAGGATGGTCTTGAGCCAACGTTCTTCCTGACTCAGCCTCCCAAGTGCAGGAGTCACAGGTATAGGCCGCTATGCCCAGCCCACATAATTATTTGTACTAAACACTAATGTCGTATTTGGATGCCTTATACAGAAACACATGGATGTGTTTATATGAAGGCTGCTTTTCTTTACTTGGTATTAAACTATTTTTTCTTTTCAGTGCTGGGAATTGAATCTATTACCTTCTCACTGAGCTACATCCTTAACCCTGTAATTATTTTTCTAAGTCATTAAATTGTCCAGGTTGGACTCATACCTTCCATCCTCTGTTTCAGCCTCCCAAAGTGCTTGGATTATAGGGATGCCCTGACCCTCTGAAAGAATTAGATTACATATTTAGAATAACAATAATGACTTGCATACGCTGGTATATTTCTCACAGATCAAAATGGGAGGAAGAAAATTTTCATTTAAAAAGATTTTAATTCTAGCATATCTCCAAAATTCAGTTTGTAAACCAGGTATGGTGGAACATGCCTGTAATCCCAACACTTGGGTGGCCAAAGCAGGAGGAGCATTTCAGGTTCAAGGCCAGTCTCAGCTATGTAATGAGTTCAAGGCCAGCCTGAACTGCATAGTGAGACCCTGTTTTAAAAAAAAAGAAAAACCGTAGTCTGTAATAATTTGCACCAAAATTGTTTCTATTACACATTATCAAAAGTGAAGTAAAAATCATTCTTTTGAGAAATAGTTCATTAATAAAAGCAAAAGCATAATATTAATTATAAGCATTTGAAAAGTGCTTACAAATCAAAAACATGAAACCATAGTAATATCATTAACTTCCTTTTTTTATGTATTTAAGACAGGGTCTACAGGATCTACAGGGTCTATA